ATTACAAATATGGCACTATTGTGTGCCGTTTTTGCTGTATTTAATTACAGACAAGCAAACAATCTCAGAGTTTTAGTAGTATATAGATAGATATATAAACTGATATGTGGCGCCATCTAGTGTACCTAATTTCATCTAGAAATTTTCTTAAAAGTGACCCAAAAAATGGTGCTAACTTGGTAACACGTGGCCCGATTTTAATGAAACTTGTTTTATTCTGTTTCTATTCTCATTTCATTACCAATATAGCACTATTGTGCACCGTTTTTGCTGTATTTAATTACAGACAAACAATGTCAGAGTTTTAGTAGTAAACAGATAATAAGTATAATAATTCTTCATGAGGTATGCTCACAAGCAGCTCGTGAGTTATGTAATTCAATACAGTAACCTGAGCTATGTGTTTGTCAAATGATTTACAGTTTGTTTGGTGGGATTATTGGTTAGACACTGGTCAAAGGTCAATAAAATTTAATTATAAACAGATGTAGAGTGTTACAAGCTCAAAACAGTTGTAATTTCCTGTTACAATTATAGTAAATCTAAATAGAAAACATGGGTAATTTATATTTATTTCGATTTTTTTTCATGGTTTTTACCAGGTCAGTCAAATTGACTGAATGTGTATAGAGTTACAGTAGAGAAAATAACAGATAACATAAAGTTGTATTGACAAAAAAAAATTTATATTAATTTAGGAGGTTTTAGAGGTTATGCAAATAAAATTAACAGTTTTCATGTGAAGAAACGTATTTTTAATTTTAACATGAAAATCACTTTGCACATCAAGAAGTCAGCACTCTCACTCCACATATTCATGAACAAATGTTTAGTAAAAATACTTAATTGAAAATTCTGATTTTTTTGTCTACAAAAGACTTATAATGTTTACAGAGAGCTTGCCAAATTTTGGGAAGATACACAAAACATATTAAAAGTTATAGTATTGAAACTGATGGTCTCCGTGGGGTCACATGGTCAGTGTATTCCACCAAGCCTGTAATGAGAGGGTTAAAGAGAAGGAATCTATAGGACTTTTAAGTGTTTGAATCTTAAGCTTCAACTATAAAATTTACTTTTGAAAATCGGAGAAATTCTGAATTGAATTTCCATATCTAGAAGTTATTGATTTCAGTAAATCATATATCATCTGCATCTTGTGGTCTTATATCTTAATGTTGAAAGTTGTGCTTCACTTATTTTTAACAGAAATTTTATTATTATTTTAGTTCATAGAGCTTTATAATACTCCCAGTATATATCAAGTACACACACCATTACTAAACTTCAGTGTGCCAAAACTACTGATAGCTGTTTTATGATGTGCTGGACAAAAAATTTTTATTTATCAAAGAGAAAAGGAAGGCTCTACAGTTTATGTATCAAAGTTTTTTTTCAAATCTCTTTTCAAGAAAAAGGTTTTTAGAAGAATTGTTTTCTTTTAGAGACAATTTTTAAATTGATGCTTTATTTCTTTCTGTACAAGTTTACATGTAGCTGTTGTTAACAGTTTAGCATTAAATATACAATCTGTCTTCTAGAAGTACATAAATGAATATTTAAAACTGTGTATAATGAATCAGACCTACAATTGGCATCATATGAATCAAAATATGATAGTGTTCTTTTTCAGGTGATTTTTGTCACTTTGAAATCAACACGTGATGAATGAATTGTAAAAATGTGGTCATTCCTCTTTCTAAAACCTGATTTGAATATTAATCTGTGAGCATATTCATTATCATTGAAAAATGTTGTTAACGAGTGCAATACTTTTGTTAGTAGAAGTTGCTGTAATATTCAAGCATATTTTTACAAGAGTATTTATATAATAAACAAATGAACTTTCTCACTTTTAATACAAACTGGGCTAGTCCAGTTTTGTGGTATATTAATATTTAGATGTACTCACTTCAGTGATATTTTTGTCTTTTCTACTTTTTTAAATTTGATCCCGGTTATAACAATTAAAGTAGTAGTATTCATGTCATAATGTTATAAATTAAGTTTATTTCTTTAGAGTATTAGAAAAGGAACAGCAAGAGTGTAATTGTTTTTATTTCTGTAGGAATGAGAAATGCCATATATGACAAGTTAGATGATGATGGGATCATTGCTCCTGGGACTAGGGTATCTGGGGATGATGTGATCATTGGAAAGACCATCACTTTGCCAGAAAATGATGATGAAGTAAAAACTGTTATTATTTAAATTTTTTTCTGTTCACATTAGTATTAGTATTAAACCACATGTTTTGAAGTTTTTCTTAGAGTGTAATTTTGTATTTATGATTCCAGAAGGGTTTGACTAGTTTTGATTCCTGAAATATGTTGCTTTTCTGTGTTATAAAAAAAGTACTGGCTTCTATTGACCCGGTCCACATAGCTTGGTCAAAATATGCATGTCACAACCATTTACAAAGTTATGTTTAAAATTTAATTAAACAACTTTAATGTTAATGCATTTAAATATACTTGGCATCAAAACATTTATAATTCAAATTCTTGTTTTATTTAAAGTTTTAATTTTAATACTTAAATAACTTCTCAATTTTTATATCTGTGTGCCCTGGACATGTTTATAATCTGAATTCCTTCTTCCTTTATGAGTTTAAGAGTGTACAAACAATTAGAAACATGGACTATAGATACTGATAGGTCAGACTATAAAATATAAACCTCCTACCTTCTTGATTTGCTGAGATAACAATAAATTGTCAAACTCATCAGTAAAGCTCCTTTCATCTTCTCAAAGCTTCTAAGGAAGTTATCTATAACGTGTGTCCTTATTTGATGGATATGTTTATAATCAATAGAAAGAATATTTTTGTCCTGCACAAGAAATTTATGGTTATTTCTTTTTGGTGGGCATATGTATACAGTTGGCCTCTGATTCTTTATCTGTGATTGATGTTGTTAAGCTCCAAGCAGATAACATTTTAAACATATTTATAGCTTGGTTAGAAAGTCAATTAAATTATAGTTGTTTTGGGATATCCTATTCTAGTGTCTGATATATTTTTTTGTGTTCTAAGATACATATTTTAAAGCTACATGAATTTTTATTTGAACAACTAACCTAATGAAAAATGTAGGGGCTAGCACAGTTATGGGTTTTACTTGCAAAAATCATGTGGATAATTTTTATTGCTTTTGATGTTTACAACATATGGTTTATGAACTTTTGCTGTGATTTATTGCTTTTGGTGGAGGATGACAGTCCATAATACAAGCAATAAAATATTAAAATCAAAAAGGAGAAGATGTAAAAAAAGATAACAGTTGAAACTGTGAAGATAAGAAGATTTACAATCTAGCAAAATGATGCATTCGAAGAAGAGGATAAAAATAGTATTGTTCACTTTATTTCATATTTCCCAACTTTTAGTTTTGCTGTACATTTATGATTTTGCTATAGTAAGAGACAGGGAAGAGGAATAACAGGTAAAATGTAAAGTTTTATCAGAAAAACTTGGTATTTGTTTAGGATGTTCTAGAGGCTATGGAAACTGATTCGAAGAGTTTACTAGAAGCTTGCCAAAATTCATGAAGATACAAATAGTAAATTGAGAATTATAAACATTGCTACATACAGCTTCACAGATACAGATGTTGTTGAATAGACTAATGCTGTGCACATTGGGTTAACAGTATGTGTTTTAAAATGTGTACATTGGTAAATTTTAGTGTTTCTGAGGGCAAGCAGAAACACTGACTAACAAAGTATTTACTTAATACTTGTTCATGGGACATTGTTTGTAGAGTGAGCTGAAATCAAGTTATGTACTTAACAATTTTCTGTCTCTTCAGATTTTTATAAAATGTAGTAAAGAAAATATATAATTTTTATTGTGAAATTTAGTTACTAGAGGAAGCTGTTACAAATTGTACAGTAGGATTTAAATTCACTTTTTTTTGTTTTAATATTATAAGAGTGGGAAAAGTCCTCCATGTATAATGATATCCCATTTAACACTCAATAAGGGTTCATGAGAACATAGCTCTAAACAGGCTTATTTTAACATTACATATATGGAGATATGTAACTGAAGGCATTGTTTCTTACCTGTGAATGATGTATAAGTGCTTTAATTAAGTACTGGTAAATTTAATGTAAATTTCTTTCTATGATATCGTCATTGCTGGAAAAAAGCAAATTTTTATTAGCCTTCAATCTTGTTTGGTTGCTGAGCCATGAAATAGAAAATCAGACTCCTCCTGCTATGCCCACCTGTCACATCCTCTCTTTCAGGATTTGTCAATATATGTAGTTCTCTCTTATGTTTACGACTATATTAGTTATAACCAATAGATAGACAAGGTTTTCGTCTATCAAATGCAGTATTATATTACATTGTTTTCTGTACAGAGATTTGTAGATTGCTTCCTAAAAAAAAATTTTTTTCCCCACAGGAACAATATTGTGTTGAGGGATGACGTTTTAATGCTTCACATTGCATCACTAGAAATGCCAGAAAAATTGTGATAGTTACGGGACATTGTCTGTTTTTTGCATGTTATTATTCTATGCTCTGCGTTGCATTATCTTATTAAATAAAAATTATTTAGTGCACTACTACCATTAGTATTAAAAGTAGTGTTGAGAGAGTTATGGATTTTCATAATTTTTTCTCTCTCTCTTGTGTAGAAACATAACCTTTCAAGAAGATGAGCTTTATAACGAATAACTTTAAAGTGGGGTGGTGCTAAGTGGGGTCTTACTGTACTTTACAATAAGCATTATTTGAAGCTAGAAGTAAAATAGTGAGTCAGGTGTTAACATTTTTTCTATGCTTTTAGTAGTTTCATATACTTTCAAGTAAAAGTAATAAAATTTAAAAGGTTAGTGTGTTGACAATATTGTTTCTTCCTAGCACAAGTAGTTACCAGTAAAACTTCTTTTGTGTAAATTAAGAAAATCAAAAATGTTATCAGTATCATGGTAAAAAAACAGCTATATTCCATAGATTAACTACAATTAGATATGTTTGAGTAAGCTACATAATAAGCAGTTTTGTGTACGTGCTGTTAAATTAAATGGAGAGATAGTTAGAGTATACTGTCATTTCTTCATGCATGAGTCGCCTAGTATTCTGTAAAATTTTACACTGTTTGATTTAAACATTATTCTAGCTGGAAGGAACTACTCGTAGGTTCACTAAACGAGATGCCAGCACTTTCCTGAGAAACAGTGAGACTGGGATAGTTGACCAGGTCATGTTAACGCTAAATGCTGAGGGTTACAAGTTTTGTAAAATAAGGGTTCGGTCTGTACGTATACCTCAGATTGGTGACAAGTTTGCTAGCCGTCACGGACAGAAAGGAACCTGTGGTATTCCTTACAGACAAGAGGTAAGTAGTATCTATGATCTTTGACATTTTAAAATAGAAAGAATAGCCATCATATTTCAACTGTATTTACAATGTAAGGGAATATATCCTGTTTATGTTAAACAAATATAAAATGTTCTTATATCTTGATACATCACAAAGAGAACCTCTTTAAACATATCAATTATCCTTTGATTTTATTATATTTTTAATCTTTCTATATCTGGATATAATGTGTTTTTAAGAATACTGATAAAAAAAAAGTAAAGAAATCTGAAACTGATCACACAATATACCAAAAATATTAATCTCTCTCCCTATAGGATATGCCTTTCACAGCTGAAGGACTTACCCCTGATATAATCATCAACCCCCATGCTATTCCTTCCCGTATGACTGTTGGGCACTTGATTGAGTGTTTGCAGGGAAAGGTTTCTGCTAACAAGGGAGAGATTGGTGATGCTACACCATTTAATGACACAGTGAACGTGCAGAAAATATCCTATCTTCTCCAAGAATATGGCTATCACTTAAGAGGAAATGAAGTTGGTTATTAATTAATTTGTTTTGGAATGTTTAAAACTTTGTTTGAAACATTTAAAAAGATCATGCTTTTCAGCATGTGCATGATTTTGGTTTTTCTAGAAAAGAAATAAAATTCTATAAATGTCTGTTAACTATTGGAATATTCTATCAAAAATTATTGTTTTATGACAAGTAAGGAAGATTATTTTCAAAGCAGGTTGTTTCAATCATTCTCAACTACACAAGTAGGTATCAAATTATGAGTTGTTCATTATTTTGTAGGTAATGTACAATGGCCATACTGGACGAAAGGTTAATGCACAAATTTTCTTGGGACCAACTTACTATCAACGTCTAAAGCACATGGTGGATGATAAAATTCACTCCCGAGCTAGAGGCCCTGTACAGATTCTTGTTCGACAGCCTATGGAGGGTAGAGCCAGGTATTGTTTTTTTGTGTCATTGAAGTCATTCTGATAAGTTATAAAAAAAATTAAAAAATGATAGTGCTATACATATTCAACATTATATTGTTTATTTTGTCTATCTGATGGCTAGATATTAAATAGCAATAAAGTTAGCATTACTGAAATAAAAGGAACCTATTAGTACAACACTCTAACAAATAAAAAATTCTGATATTTTTGAATTAAACAAGGAAATAGTAGTGAATAAAACACTAAGGAAGTTCTAAAAGTGAGCATGTAGGTGAAATAAAACCCTTGGACAAATAACCGATAAAATTCTTAGATAATACTGATGTCAAGTTATAGCATTTCACTGTCTTTGAACTATTCTTTCTAGACTTTGGAGTTGTGAACAAAGTTTTACAGGTTTGCTATTGTAGTCTAACTAAAAGTTTTTAGTGATTTCTCTTTGAGAATTTTCATTAAAAGTGAAATTCAAGAAAATATTAGTATGTCACATATGTAGGCTAATCAAAACAACAATGCAACTGATCATATATAATGTGTATAAAATTACAATTACATAATAAATATATAAATTTACTGCAATAAGCATAATAAAGAAATAATTTAAATAATCAGATTTGTATGGCACTGCATAAGACTTGTTTCAAATGAAGAAAATAAAGGTAGTGGAAACTTTAGATTTGTTGGAGAAAACTGTTTGAAATTGTTTGTTTTTATAAAAAATTTTAAAAAGTTCATGTAAAAAAAAATAATAATAATATAATAGTACTAAGTCAAAAATTTTTAAAGGTATTTAATGTGTGAAATTGAATGAATCTTGTTTGAGAAAATAATACATAACATATAATAACTTCTTTTTTTTTTCCATTAAGGGATGGAGGTCTTCGTTTTGGTGAGATGGAACGAGACTGTCAAATCTCTCATGGTGCAGCCCAATTTTTGCGAGAAAGATTATTTGAAGTTTCTGACCCATATCGTGTTCATGTTTGTAATCTCTGTGGCTTGGTCTGTATCGCTAATCTGAGGAACAACACATTTGAATGCAAAGGCTGCAGAAATAAGACACAGGTAAGTAGAAGGAAAATTTTTGCTATACATTTCCATGAAAATTACTGAAGAAGAATATCAGGTATCACTAGCCTTTACATTTGAGTACAGTTAACATTGTTAATTATTTTACTTTTGTAAAGCACTTTAAAAAAAAAAAACGTTGAATTTATAAGCCTATTGATATCATACATTTTATAATAGTTTGATCTGAACTTCATTTTCAATCATCATTCCACATTTTGCACATTGTGATAGCTATTCAATATAATCTTGTGAATATTAACATCAATTTTGGATTTTTATAAAAAAAATAAACTTCAGTTTAAAATTGAGATTTTACAACATATTCATCCTTGGATTTCAAAAATAGTTGCACCAGGAGAAAGTTTAGAGTTCTTTACTGACAAAAGTAACCATTTTCATTGAGATATATGTGTATGAAATATTCTATAAGTGTATTGAGAACCCCCTGACAGGTATATGTGACACCTTGAAAGGTGATAATGTATATTTGAATGTGACTTCTGATACAATGGTCTAAGGAATCATGATTTCCTTAGTTGGGTGCCACATAAAATTTTTATTTTGAAAAAATTAGTGTTTTAGGTTATTATAAGTACAGGTCTGCAATGTGTTTGTGTACTTTTTATTTTAACAAAATAGTTTATTTACTAATAAGTACACTTATGGGGAAAACATAAGTTACAATAGTCATAATTGCCTTACATTTTACTTAAAGTGTGTTATTTTCTTTTTATCAAATTATATATGAAGTGCATATTTTCATGGGTCTTGTAGGATCAATAAATATTGCACTAAAAAGTCAGAAAGATTAGGAACTTCTATGCTATTCAAAAATTGAACTATACTATGTTTGCTACTTTTAACCCTCTCTCCATGGGCATATCTTTCTGCACATGGCACAAGGTTTTATTGAGTTTCATTCAAACTTTAATTAAACTACTTTGTTTTCATGGTATACTAATAAATATAGCATACAACATAGCTAATAATCCATATTTTAATGGTATATAAGTTTTAACTTTTTACTTTTATAAGAAAAAAATCTAAAATATCCCCCAGTGTGAGAACTGACATTTTCTCTCTAGGCATCCTCTTTTCTCTAATTTATTTACCACTCCACCAAGAAGCATGAAATTTAACATAAATTACTTGTTATAATGTCATCATTGCTCAGTCAAAGCATAATTTTCATAGCCTTTAATCTTATTTGGTTACAGAGTTGTGAAATAGACAATCACACTCCTCTTGCCATGCCAAATTGTCACATCTTCACTTTCAGAAATTGCCTATAGTTCTCTCTGATGTTCAACTCTGTGTTATTTATAACTAATAGAAAGCCAAGGTTTTCATCTATCAAATGACATATTATATTACATTGTTTTCTCTAAAGAGAATTGTCAGTTTTGTTTCCAGTTCAAGTTTGATTCCCACAGGAAACACATTGAGGAGGTTAGATGAAGTTTTAAAAGCTCTTGTTGCATAGTTAAAAAGCCAGAAATATTGTAATAGTTATGGAACACTGTCTACTTCTTTAACGTTATTATTCTGTGTTCTTTGGTGCATTATTTAATTAAATAAAAAACGTTATTTAATATAGTACTACCATTAGTATAAAAAAAAGTAAAGTTGACAGCAAAAAAAAAACACAGGTAAGTACTTTTTTCCTGTTTTTAATGTGTATTCCTTATTTATTATTATAAAAGTAACTCAAATATAAAATTAAGAAACATTTATGTTAGTTAAGATTAGATTAGGTGAAATAAATAATAATATAATAATTTTTCATAAGGTACACTCATGAGCAGCTTGTGAGTAATGTAATTTGATAGCTTTTGCCAAGTGATTTACAACTTATCATGGCACAGATAGTAGTTAGACAGGGTTCAAAGGGCAATAAAACAGTAAAATTTAAGTATAAATACATGTATACTGTTATAAGTGTAAAGCTATTTAGGATAAACAAATTTAGTTTCATATTACAGTTTGAAGTTATTCTAGAAAGAAAAAGGGTAGATTTATTTCGTTTTTTTACTGTTATGAGGTCAGTCAAATTGACCAATCTTGTATCAAGTTAGGATAGCAAAAATATAAAGATTTTACAGAAAAGTTTGAAACTTATTTAAGAGGTTTTAGAGATTATTCAGATAATATTTGAGATTTTTGAGATGAAGAAAAGTATTTTTAATCTTAACATGGAAATCACTTAGCACTCAGGCTAGTATATAGAAATACTGTTTATATTCACGGACAAATCTATAGTAAAAATGCTTTGTTAAAAAATCTGATTAATTGTGTACAAAAGAGTTGTAATGTTTACTTAAAGTTTACCAAATGTGGTGAAGATACACAAGGTGTATTAATGGTTATAGTATGGGAATTATAACAAGTACATAATGGTTACGAGGTCGATTCGACTGACTTTGTAGTGAGAGAGTTAAACATATGTAGTATTTCATGTTCTAATATTAGTTATTTTTTTATGCATTCTTCTTATTTTGATAATGTTTTGGGGCTTAGCTACAAGTTTATTGGCATATCCAAATCTAATGTGTTCAGAAATGCTAAGGATACATTTTTACATCATACTAATTGGAAATAAATAAGAGCAGAACAGCAGTTTTATGGAATATTTAAGCAATAATATAAAAGTGAGAGGAAAAAAATCACTATACAGTTGTACACTTTTAATTAATACAAGAAAATGTAAACATATTACATAAAATAAGCATGGGTATCTAAATCTGTAAAAAGATCTAATAACAATGAAGAAAAGACAACAAATAAGACAAACAAAATGGAATATTGAAACCTTCCTACAAGAGTAAAGTTATTTAACTATGTTTAACTGTATAGAGACTCATCCTGTATATTGACAGAAATATAGTAACAGAGTGTCTCTTCACAAATAAAATATGTTTTGAGGTATTTGAGTTTTCTGAGTACTGGTACTCTACTTTAGTTTGTAATTAGGTGAAGCTTCTGTATGTTCTCTGAAGAAGACATGTATTAGTATGATAAGTGTTGGAGAGAAATGAATCTTAACTGTTGAAAGCTCAAAATGGTGTCTAAATTCACCTTTTCATGGTATTTTTTAAGTGTTTACACTTAGTATGTTATTCTTTAGCTGCAAAAGCAAAAATAAATTGAACACTTGGTGTTTAGTAACAATTTAGAAACTTGGTGAATGATAGCAGTATTTATTTTTTTCTGGGTAAAATGGATATGTGATTACATAGGTTTACTGACACTTGATTAAGTAACTAATGAACAATATTTTCTTGATTTTGTATTTTTATTGCTTTTATGAATTCTGTAATTTTACCTTCTTACCTGATGTATGCTGTACACAGTCTCTTAAATGCACTTAAAAGGAAATAACATGGCAAAGTTATTTGTAGTTAACATCCAGTCGGAAGTTAGACAAACTTAGCTATTGTCTTTCAAGGTTAGTCATACTAAAAAATGTTGGAATTGTTAAATGTGCATTTGAAATTATGTCTAGTATAATTGAAATTAATTGGAGTTTATGCATGAGTAAAGAAAACTAAACACATTGAAATGACTTGGATTTTCTAATGGGTAACTTCTCTAGCTTGGAAATTTTGAACAGTGAAAATTCACTGGTTTGAATTGATGCTCATTTAAGAAGTTTAATGCATTAGTACAGATCTCAGTGCTTCAGCAGATATATATTTAAATTATTTTAACATTTTGTAAATGTCTTTTCAGATATCACAAGTGAGGATCCCTTATGCCTGCAAGCTTCTATTTCAAGAGCTAATGGCTATGTCAATTGCCCCAAGGATGATGGTTACATGAAGTTTTAATGAAGCTAATGAGAACAATAATGTAAAATACTGTCATAAATGCTAGTGAAAACTTCCTTTGTGAAGAATGGATAATAAAGATTTTTTTTATGGAGTGATTGTAATATGTTTACTGAAGTAGAAACATTACTATACAGACCTTGCTAATGGCTGTGTTTAAAACCATTTAGTTTTGTACAGTGGCAGCTCATTGGAGAAGGAAAAGGAAATTATGCCTCTCCAAAGATTTTGAACAAATAAAATATTTCTTATTTTTATATTAATACATATATTTTCTTTATTTTGATCATAAGATTCTTGAAAACTGCATATTTTTTGGGGGGCAAAATGCTCCAAAACAGTTTTATTCTATTTTGTGTCATACTTTGAAGTGATGTCTGGTGGCATGAGGCACATAGTGGCTGTGCTGATTGTTGTTGTATTTTTATCTCTACAATTTCTCTATACTGTGACGGAAACAGCCTGAGAGGAGCTGAACCTATTTATGAAGCTTGAGGCTGGCCACACAGCTAATGGAGCCAGTCAGAATCTACATCCAATGTAAATAATTTTAAGGAAAGTTTGTAGCTAGAGGAGTAAACAAGCCAAACAAGATAGCAGTGATCAAATCAGGCTGGTATAAATTAATGTTACTGTGATTATTCAGTGTTTTAAGG